CTTGACATTCGATGTTTGCAGGCAACCGGTGAATTTAAACAACAACATCACTTTGCTCAATCTAAATGCACAATTACCATGTCAGTTCAATTCTTGTTATTTGGTCATGATCATGTGGCTCTCACGTATGTACGAATCGACAGATTGGGCAGCTGACAGATCTGAACGGCAGGCAATTGAAATGCTTGCCTCGTGGCCACTTATGTCTCTCGGTATACGGCCCTTTCTCGAACTCATCTCCTTTTTTCCGATAACGAAAACCGAGCTCTTCTTACTCGAAGCTGACGCTCTCCCTTGTCTACCGTTAAACTCTCGTCAACTACTCGAACTGTATACGAAAGAAGAAAGGTCAGAAGCAATCAATCAGCAACTCGACTATCTTGCCGTGGAGACATTGACTGACGTTGCCACCTGGGCAGTCAACCAAATTACATCGGTCAGCGAGTCCGAACTTCTTGACGAGCAAAAAGAGATGATTGTTACTCGATTGAAAGCTCTCACAGTTCTGAGCGAATTCAAACCTCAATTCTACTTCCGTGTCCATGGTGGCTATTCGAATAGAATGCCCGACCTCACCTATCGACAAGAGCATCCCGAAAGTAAACGTTTCGAAGAAAATCCGATGAACACTGTTTATAAGAATACATTAGTATTGCGTCTGCGATTTTCCGGGTGGAGTCTTGTACAGTTGGCCACTGATCCCGATCCTCCGAATGATGAAGTCGGTTGTACTGGGAACTTTATGTTACAGCCATCTGATGGTAAAGGACGACATCTGAATCGTGCCATCGTCTGGCAAAGACATAGCAATGATCTGACAGAGATCGTGCGTGGACCCAGTAACATTCTACCAAAAGTTGGAGTCAACTGTGTTGATATCAGCCTGATGGTCGCTGGTGAGGACATGAAAGTCGGCTATGTTCCTTTGCACGTACCGAGCTGGACAGGTGCGCTAAAAAAGAGTGACGACCAAAAAATGCTCAAGATAACTGGTCTTACGGAACTGTGTCGAATCAAGCCAGCGGATGTCACAGGAGATGAAACGAGAAAAGTGCGCATTGATCTTCTGGAAAAAACCAGCTTCAAGCCCTTGTTCCTAGGCGAAAATCATCTTATATGGCAGAATGGTGAACCAATTGATCCATTCATTCTGGCCGTCTTGATCGATACCGATGTTAATGAGCAGGAGCCGGACCTCGCATTTAGTCGGGAAATATACAACGAAGAAAAACGCCTAATAGAAATGACACCATATGAACGAATCCTTAATGCTCGAGGACCAACAGGTTTTGAAACGGAGATAGCAAATGTTCCTTCATGGGCAAAGCAAAATTTTTCGAAAGAAGAAGCAACACTTATCGGTAAGTCTGGATATCCAACGAACTATTTCGTCAAACGGCTACAACATCTTGAACAAGCGCTCCGATCGGTATTCATCGATGCTGTCACCAATTCACTGACGCCAGAAGATGTGAACACTATCGTTTCTTTGGTGGATCGGATGAAGTGGATAACACAAGATCCGAACGGATCTATCTACCGATGGATGAAATTTCTAGTTCATTATGGTCATTCGATCAGTGGACAGTTGAGAAGTAGCAACACAAATGCGATACTCGAAACGGTACGCAAGAACACTGGTATTTCGTGTACCATCAGCGCTCTCGACAATAGAAATGAAACAAATGCAAGATGGCTAATCAAGTATGACCAGTGTATCATGGACGCGGACGCACTATCCTATTTCGTTTTCGGCGAACTCTATATACCTTTGACAATAATCTCTATGCAGGATCAGCAAGTTCGATTGGTTCACAGTTGGATGTTCAATGGACCAATGTATCATCCTTTGAGTGGTTTTGCTCTCGATTTCGAGCATGCTTTTTGGCGTGATGATTATATCTATGGACTGATTCCAAACGCTCGTATTCTAAAGATTGATGATACCCAGGAGCTCGTCGAAAAGGTAAGTCAAACTATAGAATACCACATTTAGTCTTTATCCTCGCCCTCTTCTATTTCTATGGACGGTTATAAAAAGAGAGCGAACAGAATTATACTCGAAGTTTTACATGAATTAACGTTTCGGTCAAAGTCTCACGCTAGGAAGCTCGAAATATGGAAGAAGTAGATAATTTGTAAGAAAATCTCGAAAGTATAGTGCAGACAAGTAAAAAGTCGGAAGTAGTTTAGAATCTTTGAACAACAGATGTTTTTATAAGAAGATTTACAAAGTATTTTGTTTTTCTGATTAATCTGTTGACGTCGGCTGATCTCATACAGGATCACACCAGTTTATTAGTACTTTGAAATCCAGAGATTCATATATAATATCAGTTTTCGTGAAAGCATTTATGAGGGACCTTTTTGATGTAATTCGGGTTATAGATTACTTTACTCTGATAATCAGAAATACATAATAAATATAACATAACTGACTTTTACGAGAAAACTTAATAAATTAGAATTGCAGATTGATTTATTTTACAAAGGTACGAGATATTTTGCTTACTCAGAAATATTCTCCCTATAAAAATAAATCTGTCGAAAACATTATTAATCAAAATTTAATAAGTAGGTTTTTAAGGTATGGATCTCCTACAGATCCTTTTCTCATTTCTTTTAATGGACATTTAAGACATGCATCAACTGATTAGAAATTTAGCTGGCTATTTAAATGCATTTTTGGATTTTCTCTTGTTGCTATCGTTTAGCAAACACAATTTATTCTTAAATAGTGTTCTACCATTTTAATTTTGATGAACATTTATATTTTTTAGCTAGCCGAGTCCGACGACGAACAATTGACTGATTCTGCACATGGTTATATGTATTGGCAAACAGGCATGCCAGACATCAATAAATGTGTTCAGAGTATTAAACTGGATATGAAAGAAGCGAATGCGAACCTTATATGGGAGATTCAGTTTTATGCTGTCAATAAGGAAGCAATTCTTAATATGGCTCTCTTCTTTGCGAACCAGACCGCTCTGGCTGATGTGGCTCTACAAAAATACGTACAACCCTTCACTGATGATTAGTTTTATGAACTGCCTCAAGTCTAAACGAAGAAGAACTGGTCTAGTACTTCGTATACGTTCGGCATATCACGTCACCTGACTACATGACTTTGTATATATTGCGAAACCTTGCTTTTCATTAATGCTTATTTACTGAGAATATCCATATTCAATGCCAATACACTAACTCTACATACTCGATAGTCATTTCTTGAAAGAATAAAGGAGTATTCAAGATCATGCATCACTTCTCGTTATTCATTATTACCGCGCTCGCGAGAGTATCACATTTAATGCATTCCTTCAGTCTATGATGGACCAATTCATAAGTGGCAAGCTAAAATGTCAGTTTTGTATTGGTTGTGTGAATACTTAATTGCACTTTTTTATCAAAAAAAAAGAAGGATCACCCTGAAGATATGGGAGCGTCCGGTGAAGGATACCCCAATTTTGTTTTCTTTCGAAATCATCAATAATACATCGGAGCACAATGATATTTTTACCAGATTTAGTTCATATGTGGAACTAGTAAATATCGGCCTTTTGAGTTCTATGTCGTGATAGAAGCGATGCTTCTCAAGTATTTCCTTGACATCATATAGTTCAAGATATTTTTTTTTGACTTTGTTCTCTTAATTCAATTCTGACTTCGAGCATCTGAAATAAAATGTAATCTTAGCAAAAGAGTTTTATCAGCAAGAGATTTGTTTAAAAACTGAGCGAATATATTATTTGGTGTTTTTACAAATATGAAATTACATTAAGTTAAGATCAGACAAAGGACGAACAACACGTGACATTTTTTTCACCTTTTCAGAGTTATTGAATGGTCCTGTCCGCTAGACAAAATCTATTATCGAGCTCTTCAACGCGTTCGGCGCCAGCCAAAATATTTTTCCTTCCTTCCCATTCTTCATTATTGTAATCGAACGGAAAATCATGGCGATGTTATCCACACCCAATTCACATGGAAAATATTTTACATAGATCTATTCGAGTCGAAGAACGAAAGAAACGTAAAATGTCCTATATGTAAATTGCACGCGATTAACAACATAATGTTTTTTCAATCGATTGCCATATCAAAGAACTAGAAAAGTTGAAAACGCGTATTGTACTTCAGTGAAACGCTCTAATGCAAATTCGTTTTCAGATCATACTTTTTTCTATTAACTATGAGCAGCCATTACCGGTTTCTCTGTTATCTGACGGTGAGGGTGTGAGTATTATGGGAAGAAAGCCACGACTAGTTTCGACCTTCCGCAAAGATCTCATCAGGTAGCTTTTGCTTTGTATTGTCTCTGATTGAAACTTGAAGCAGTCGAAATTCTTCGCAGATTTCTATTGAAAACTCAGAACAAGCAAAGATTTCTTTTCATAATGAGGCGCGTATTATGAGAAGAAAACCTCTGTTTGCTTCGAACTTTCCATTGAAGAACCTGCAGAGGGCCTTGACTCCTTCAAGTTCTTATTTCGAAAGACAATTACTCTATGCTTACTCGTTTGAACATCGTTGAACATTTCCTAGAAGGTCTTCGAACTGGCATGAAACATATTCAACTGTCTCTAATGTTTTGGCTTTTATTTTTCGGAACGAGCATCCAATACAGACTTGAACCTGGTGACGAGTCCCTTAAGCAAGGACGAAACCGGTAGTAAGTAGCTCGAAATTCATCTCGATTCGAAACTCGTCTTCATCTTGTTGTTTTTCATTCACAATTTTTATTTCAATATGTCTAAACCGGGCGTAGTATATGCTTTCAATTTGAATGAGAATATCGATTGCTCTCTATGACATACAAAATATGCATTTGGTGATATATCAGGTTACAGTTCTAACGATAACGTATTATCCATCATGATGATGAAAGCAGATGCATTTGTATTTACAAGGCCATTTCGTTTCTTCTCACTTTCTCGAGAGAGAACATATTTATAAAGCACTTGTTTCCGTGACACAACTGTAAGTGAAATACGAAGATGTTTGAAATGAGACAAGCCATCTACCTGGTGCTATCGGCTCTATTTATTAATCAATATTCAAGTCAAACCGGTTTTCCGAAACAATTTCAAGCAACATTGAATATAACTGGATTACAGTCGTGGCCATTACCATCTTTTGGTTTTCAATACTTATTGTATGATTACACAAATTCAAGAGCTCGTTTTGATATCAAAGGTTGGCGATTGAAACAAAATGAAACTTATATGATTCAATATAAACCCAAAGGTGCTGAAGCAGATACAGTCAGTAAAAAAAAGTGTCTTCTGTTATGGAAAAAATGCGTCGATTTGTTTTATTTTGTAGCCGGCCTCACATGGTTATACAATGTTCAACTACAATCCTGATTATCCAGAACGGACAAAGGTATAGAAACAGCAGGTTTTTATTTATTTTCTCTTTAAATAATTCCTCTTTATTCTTCGAAGAACAATTGTTGGTACAGGACAAATCCAATGAAAGATGCAGGTCCGTTCCCGATTACATGGTTTGCTGATAGCTTAAGTTTCCGTCAAGTCCAACCATGGTTTCCACTACCATCGAATCTTATCAATAAGGGCGAAGAATGGATACCAGAAATTCAGGGCTATGCAGTGGTATGTCAACCTATTGTGAGAGAAGCAATATATTCTGATATTATGCGATGAATTAATCACACGTTCTCATTTATTTCTGAAAATAGGAGGAGTATGATACGTTTTCAACATCCATCAAATGCATGAAGTTGATATTTGAAGGACATCGTCTCCCTTTCCAGTTATTACCTCTTATAGGTGAAATCCTTTGACAGAATCGTTCTCTAAACGAAAATTGAAAAATTGCAAAGATCATTTTGATTTATATATAGCCGAACAAGAATGTCACATTTTGAAAAAATCTCTGAAAAATTGCTACAATTTGATAGGTTTCAGAATTGAAAGACATATCGCTTTGAAATTAACACAATTGAGGTTAGCAACCATTTATCCATTTCCTACAGAAGAGAAATGGAGACCATCGCATACATCTTTCATTCTTTGTTGAATATGCTACTGAATGCTTCTCATGTCTCGCTCTGTCATTTTCAGTTTTTTCTAGGATAATTATTATTTTTCTTATTTTCATTTCTGAGTATTAAAAAATATAGAGAGTTTGCTCGATTAAGAAAAATAGCTCTTATTAAAATCAATATATTGTGCAAGTGTTTGCAATTACAAATTGACTCACTAATATCAACATGTAATGAATGTGACTTTTGTCGTTTTAGAGATACGATTCGCCAGAAATATGTAATTTAAGAAAATCTGGAATTGGTCAAGTTCCTTGTTTACGTTATTTTGAAGCACCAGATAGACCAGTAAAAACTATTGAAGCTCATGATAGTCAAGGCGCTTACGATCCAGATGAGTAAGTGTAAACGGCTGGACACATTGTAGGATCTGGTTCTGTCCTTGTGGTATTCTCAGTCAGCGGCGTAGCCAGCATTTTTTCATTGGGAATGCTCAACCAGTCACTGGAAGGACGCAAATTTCAACAATTGCCCTTCCATGGCTATTTTAAGCAATAGAAAAACAAAAGAGAACATTACTTATATTGTTCCATACATTTTTAAACATGACTACTTATTTCGACTTTCAATCACAATCGATTTTATCTGCTCGCTCGGACAAGTGTGTATTTCGTTCCTCATCACAATTGATCTACGTAATTCCACATAACTCGGATTAGATCTCTACATGCAATGGCTCGAAAAACATTTGAAATGTCAATGTGAGAGGCCAAACTGCTGATAAAAATGTTGAGCATCGAATACATTTTTTCCAGAAGCAGATAATTGCAATATCAAACAGTGATTGTTCTGTTACAGAGGACGTAATCAAAAAAAAGTTCTAGATATCACGGTATCACGAATGCTTCCAATGCATTTTGCGCAGATATCACAATAATTCTTGAAGGTGAGCTACGTGGATCTGTTGAGTACAGCCGTTATTGTTAACGGTAAAAACACTCTTACTCCTGCATGTTTCTTTTCCTTGTTATCATTCAAATAATTATCGTGAATACGATTGATTAGACGTTATTATATTGTTGTCGTTTGTTTTTTTCTTTTTAATCATATCGCATACATACAATACGTGTTTGGAAATCCTTCAATGCATTTCAGTTCGACGTCGTAAACAAATTTGTTCTTAATTAAACCATACACATCCAGTAGAATTTTTCGTTTTGTTTCACAAAATACCCACTAGAAAATGTTCTAAATTAGCGTTCGAAATACCTTTGACTTCAATTCAGACAGTGAAGTATTCTATAGAATCAATTACCATTAACGAATTATGTGTGGATGTCTTGTGTTTGACACTCTTCAGTAGTTTTTTGAAAATGTCCATCCCTTTATATCGTATATCTTGAGATAGTAACTAACTGTTTATATATACATAGATATTTAACTACAGTATATCTATCATTTACAAATGATATTCCATCAGAGGCTGAACATTTGTTCGATTTACCTGATCAATGGCCTGCCTATTGTGGCAATGAAAATACGGGTAAATTACAATTTTCAACATCATTTCTGATACAACATTCTGGCTGTTGTTAGGATTTAATGTAGAACCCTCTCGCTCATTTGTGGTTACTTCTGATGGTCAAGATAATTTAAAATTAACTTTTCAAACACTACCAGTTCATGCACCTAGTGACCAAGTTAAAGTTGAATTTAAAGTACAACCAAATTATTTCTACAATGGCACGCAATATGCCGAGTTTATTACAGTTGTTTTTGATCGAGCAAATTGGCAAATACCACAACAAATTAATATGTCATTTGTTGATTATGGCTGTTGCTCATATGCCATTACTGCAACCGGTGGTTGATATGATTGGTATTATATAACACCAACGATTGTTGTTTACGCCTGTGATGGAGAAGCCGGACATGCTTGTAAGGGCGAAAGAACATGTGGAATTTGAAAGTATTTAAGATATACGCATGTATACAACGAAAACAGTTAAAGTTAAACCAAATAAAAAAAGAATATTGTCGATGATGATCTTCATTTGGAGATAGATATTGAACTGCTCATCATAGAGTTGCATTCAAATATTGATGAACACTTGAATTCCGAAGGTATAGAATGTGAGACTTTCAGAATGAGACGATGTATAAAGTCACCTTCACCCTCTTCCACTCCTCAGCTCATTCATATTGTCTGCTACTTATAACATAAATTATGATCGTTTAATGGTGTAACAATATACTTCAATTCCTTCGGTATATCTGTCTTAGGAAGTCTCAGACGAAAACTAGTAAAAATGTGATTCATTTGGCGTCGTGACATGTTGCATAAACAAAAATATAAAACAGCCATGTCCTTTTATCCACGGGCTATAGAAATGTACCACTTTGGAATTATAGTCCTTCTTATAGGCAAAGGACGAGGTTGAAATCGTTGTGCCAGTTGAAGCAGCTTCCTTGCTAGTCATGAATGAGACAATATATTGTCTCGTAATCTCTATCTGAGATTGTGTATGGGTACGACTAGTTTTATTAGATTATCAGTGGTGGAATCTGTGTGCGCATTAGCACTACAGTCTTGGAATTTGTTGGTTGACTTATTCTTGTCGTAAGTGTCGTTGTCGACCGAAAGGCTCGCAAGGAAAGTAACGACAACACAAGCAAAGCTATCACATTCTCGAGCTAGACAAGTGAGTAGTGATGAGAAATTATTCAAATGACAAATGTTGAACAAGTTATATAGTGGTTGGTGGATACAAATTTGTACTTCACGCTACCACTATCGAAGAAAGAAACAACTTGACCTGTGCATGCAAACACCGGATGAATAATCAAATAACAGTAGGCGGATAGCAAGCTCACATTATGTGTTGGTTGTTTGTCAAAGTGACTGATGTTGTTATTTCGAGATTATGAGATCTAATCAATGACAAGGCACGGATTCGTCTAATTCATGCTCATGTATACACTTAGCAATGATTAAATGAACATTTGGGTGTGGGCGTGGGCGTGGGGGTGTGGTTGAAGAGAAGATGAACCCATACCCACACCCCACGCCCCACACCTTGTATTTCAAAGTCTTTGAATTCAAAGTTTTAGCTCTTGCCGGTTTTGATTATAAAATTCTTTATGTAATAATGTTTATCATTATCATGTCTATGTACATTTCGATAAAGTAAAAATTCGACCTTTTCGCGCTCCGATCTTCATCCAGATACGATTCAATATTTGACTGTCTGTTTTTCATCTTGGCTTAATACCAAATGAAGTTGGTTATTGCGATATTTCGGCATGACTCATTCGTCGGAAGTAAAATAAGAAGTATGAGTCAATATTTTTTTAACATCGACGGTGATGAATTCATATGAAGGCAAGTTGGAAAGAGAACACGTGCTCTTGGTAGATGCAGTTTTCATTTTTCTTTTCATTCGACAAACATATACAAGATGTCAGCACATGAGGACGTACGCGTCTCACTTGATACATTACCAGTTGAATTATTCTATCGAATATTGGATCATCTTGATTCTGAAACTATTCTACTGTCGTTCGGTTATGTTTGTCAACGATTTCATGCCATTGTAAAAACTTACAATCGATACGCAATTAATCTAAGTTCAATTTCGAAATCGAATTTTCATTCTATCTGTCATCTTTTACAACCGGAAAATATTATTTCGCTTACACTTTCTGATGGTACCGAAACTCCAGGACAAATTAGTTTATTTCTGTCGATTTTTCATATTCATCAATTCACTCGATTACGCCATTTGACTCTCATTGGAATTAGTGGTAGAGATCAAATGAAAATTAGTCGACGAATTAGTAATTGTCCTCTTGTCTCACTGTCATTGGATACACGTGGAATAGCTACAAATTCAACAATCACAATCCTTTCATCGGTTGTCAAAAATGTTCACCTTTGTAAAATCAATCTGAACAGTTCCAAACGTGCTCTAGACCGGATATCATGGCCCACTCATTGCTCTTTACGAGATCTCAAAGTTCATATATGCACACAGAAACAATGTATTGTCATCATCAATCAGATACCTGGCTTAAGAACATTTCAAATTGACGAATGTAAAATGGATCTAATCGATACAATGCCATCGAGCACAAATCGTTCATCGCTAATTTCTTTAAAAATAAACAATAATAATATTCCTATGACTGGTATCGAACAAATTCTGTCATTGACGCCTTCACTCATATATTTAAAATTAATAAATCATAATTGTCCTTATGATATTCAGTCAATTTCGAATGGTGTTCGATGGGAAGAAATTATTCAATCACGATTACCCGAGCTAGAAAAATTCGAATTTTTCTTCACTAAAAGAATGCGGCGATACTATTTTGGAGCCGATGTGAATTCGATAATCGAACCATTTCGACGACCATTCTGGATCGACTTCAAACGTTGGTTTGTCTGTTGTGAGTACAGTAAAGGAGCACGACGTCAAATTGCATTGTATACCATTCCACTGTGTGAAACAACTATTAAATACAAATTATCAAATCAACGAATCTACTCTACCACCGACACCACACACTACAATCAAATGGATAGTGTGTGCAAATTTGACATCAATCTGACAAATTCAAACATACCGGATATTGTAGAAAAGGTTTGCAAAAAAAATATGTCGAATATTCAGAATAGAAATTTTGATATTTGATAAGAAAAGCATTAACGAAAACCTTGTTTACATCTTTTCTAGAATGATGCAAACACATCAGTCATGTTTCGCAACGTAACCGATGTCAAACTTTTCCTAGATGGATACAGGCCACTTGGATCTATTCAATATCTTTCGACACTTGTTGATTTGTCAAAACTACGAACTATATCGATTCGTCTACCAAATTATTTTACATTAGATATGAATCCAGTGGACAATATTGGAATTCTACTAGAACGAGCATTCAATGTTCGTTCATTTGCTATGCGTGCTAGTCGTTTCAATGATGTTTATATTACAAATGTGAAGCATATTTGTTCAATATTGCCGCGACATATACGACACTTTCAAGTTAATACTCAATTGGTTGAAGAAATGAAAGAAATTTTCGAGCTAATTCAACACTTGTCGAGTGTCTCGTTTAGATCCTTGGGGTGGAAGTCTCGGTTATCCTTGCCACAATTTATCGCTTGGCTCACTGGAAGAGGAACAGATTTCACTCATGTGGTACTTGACGATGAGCTCCATGTTTGGCTTGGGAAAACTACTAGAAAATCCGATGAAATTCTGTGCTCAAACAAACGCATGAAAACAAGTCATGAATAGAGATGTTCTCATCTTATCATTGTGTTTTTTATATTCAAGACTTCGATGATGTAACTCGTTGAGTTCCAAGACTCTTAATCAAACTGAGACAGATTTCAACTATTTATCTTGAGAGTGAGAGTGAAAGAAATCACATGTGTATCTAAGAGCAGCTCCTTTCAAATGAAAGTCAAATGTGGAGACGGTGTAGGTATGCGTGTGGGTGTTGCTGAAAAGAAAGAATGCTCACACCCACACTCACACTCACACCATACCTGATTCAATATTAAAGTCATCATAGATATTTCTGATATTGAACGCACATATATTTCAAATAATGAACATCTTTTGTGACTGAATATCGTATATAATGAAATCTCGAACTTTTAAGACAATATTCTCTAATTGTGGTCAAAGAATTGAAATTCATATGCAAGGAACAAAGTGTTTGCCAAGGCATGGTCTCCTTGCAGTGTGATGAGCTATTGAGTTTTGCAGCGGTCATGCATGTTCTCCACGTTAAATATTTCTATATCTTAACGACAGACTTTTGTGGCTGAAACCTTCTACGAAACAGTCTTAGTTGTCTACAGAAATATTGGACATGATGGCTCAGCCCGTGTAACGTAGTAAATCGAATGCTACATATCGCACAATCAGTTGCCTTATCTACCCGAGTATTAATCGACTGGAAGTCTAGCTCGATTGATAATGATAGTTAGAGAGCACTTCAAAATTTTATATACAAAAAGAAATACAAAAAAAAAACCAAAAAACCAAAAAACAAAAGACAAGAAAAAAATTTTGTTTGAGTCTATTTTACGATGTTGCATGGGATGAACACCCTTGCTGGGCTTGTTGATATTCATATTTGTACGTATCTAAGTAACTGTAGAAAAATAAAAACTGGATTGAATGGATCATATGAAGAAATTTCTTATCAAATCTATGGAAGTGGAGCGTGTATGACTGAGGCATGTTTCTTTTGATGTGTGCCATAGCTACATGAATGTCATTCTTTGCTAGGTTTGAATTATTTGAATTATTCTCATGGGTATCTTGCAAAAGAAGAACTTGAAAGAATAAATAAGAATACAATCTAATATGAATTTTTACTATTAATTGTACTATTTTGTACTGCCATAGTTTCGTTATTAGTTGTTACTTCGTTCAACTCAACATCTTCTCTTGCAATGCGTCCCGTTGATTGTTCTTGTTCTGGACGAAGGTTGTCAAGAAGAGCACGAAATGAAGGACTTAGTGGCATAGAATCAAAGTCGATCACATTGATGAGATGCAAGGATGATTCACATACATTCGTCTACGAAGCATAAGATAGAGAGAGAGAAGCAAGAATGAAAAAACGTCTTTTTCTTCTCGTCTTACAGTTAAACTAGTATTTGGTGCTGATGAATGTGAATTTTCATTGAAAGTTTCCAGTACGTTTGTGCCCATTTATTCATCAAGGTGAATTGAATTGGTATGATGATTGGTATTATCTATATACAATATAGAATATGATTACGTATGAAAAGAGAATAGGATCGAATAGAACCATGATCCAGATTAAAGCAATAACTACCTGTTTCGGTTTGAACTGGTTCAAGAAGGTCTTTGAAAAGACTAGAAAGGGTAGGTATGGATGTGGGTGTGGAGTGTGGGTAAACAGGTGACCAACATCCACACCCAGAATGGATGGAAAAGGATAGAAAGGAAAAATAGCGAAGAAAAATATGAATGAATATCGAAAAGAAAAATATACAAGGGAAAAACGTTGAATGAAAAGAGAACGAAAAGGCAAAATATCGAAAGAGAAATGTAGAAAGGAGAAAGTATCGAATGTTGAAGATAGAAGAGAAATGATATAAGTTATAAGAAGTCGCTTGAATGTGACAATTGAAATCAATCTCTTACGATTGGCTGGTTCTGTTATCTATTTTCAGTCTTATGATACTGAACAATGTACATATACACTATTAACGTAATCGATGATTGCTCGTAATTATTAATTTGCTTTTCATGAATGTACTGTGAATTATGAGCTCTTTTCTATTTGTTCTAATGGGAAGTACCTATTAACAATAAACATCAAACAGATTATAAAACGACTCTTTTGTATTGAAAAGTTTTATTTACATACGAAAAGATAATCAAATGTACACTAAGTGCTTCTGTTTATTTTAAATAATATGACTACTGTTTCTAAAACGTTATCGTTCATTTTTTCTCAAAAAGGAAAACCATTGTTAGTGATGGACAATTTCGTATTTAAATTAAATAAAACCATAAATACAAAAAAATATTATCGATGTGAAAATTCTTAATGTACTATGACTTTACGTACAGATATAAATGATGTTCTAATAGGAACCTAAGGTGATCATAGTCATCCGCCTGAATCTAAACAAATGGAAGTTCGAAAACTTAAACACGTTATCAAAGAACGTGCAAAAAATGAAACTACTCCTGTTCCAAAAATATATGATGAAGAAACAGCGAGATTTTGTTTAACATCATTGGCTATTGCTATCGTTCCATTACAAAGAAAAATAAGTATTCGAATTTTTGTTCTCCTCTTTCTGAAAGAAATAATTTTTAAAGATAGTTCATTGAATAAAGCAAGACATCTTCAAACACCTGTAATACCGAATTCTCAAATTTTTGATATACCTGATGCTTATACAAAACCACTAAAAGGTGAACTATTTCTATGTGTGGATAAATTCATAAAAAGAAAGGCCTGTCTATTGCTATTTGCATCATGTAAACAATTAAAGTTGTTATTCGAAAGTCAAATTATTTTGATGGATGGCACTTTTAGTGCCTCAACGTTGATATTCGAACAAGTCTATTGTTTACATGCTATTAAATATCAACAATGTAAATATGACTTTATCTTATCACAGAAAACTTTATCGTTCTAATGCTTTGTAGGTTTTGTGCGTGTTTTTGGTCTTCTTCCTAACAAAAAAAATCAACATATAAATATTTATTTCGTGAATTACAAAATATTGCTACTGAAATGAATATGAAATTTAGTCCGATTACTATTATGTCGGGTTTTAAACCAGCATTAACAGAGGTTCTTAGTAATGAAGTACATGTTACATTACCTTTATTTGAATAGGCATAGCTATATATTAGTTTATTTAGTTTCTTAATTGTAATCATGTAGGTTGCTACTTCCACTTCACACAGGCCATATATCGACGCATTCAAAGTCTTGGATTATTTAACGAATATAATAGCAATGAAGATGTTCGAATGATTTGTAGAAAAATCATGGCTCTTCATCTTTTGCCATTGTCTTTAGTCTCACAATCTTTTGATGATCTATATGAATCACTTCTTCGAGCACCACTACAAAAGATTGATGTATTGAAACCTTTGTTTCAATACTTTGAAAATCAATGGATAAAAAAAGTCGATTTAAAACAATGGAATGTATATGGATTAAAATAATAATGCTGAGGGTTTCCATCATTTTTCAGTACTTAGATGCTCTATTCAATCTTACATATTTTTAGGTTTTCATAATCGACTCAATTCAAGATTATCTAAATCTCATCCAAATATTTGAATCTTTATTAAATGTATTCAAGGAGAAGAAAACAGGTTTAATCATTTGATGATTCAAATGAAAGCCAGTCTTTCAATTCGACCAAAAACTGCTAAAACACGAGCTATACAACAAAGACTTGATACTTTATATTCACGGTATAACAATAGTGAAATTGGTGCGATGAAACTTTTTGATGGACTATCGTATGTCGTGGCTAAAAAAATATCATCAAAAAAGAAGTAAACTGTCATCACCTGAAGTTTATTTATATTTGATCTAGATTAATGTTATGGATATTTCTGTTCTTTCTTTTATTCAATAAATTCTCTTTCAATTCTATACGTGGTTATTATGAAATAAATTTTTCTCTATTCGATATTTTTCTTTTTCGACGCTTTTCCTTTTCGCTATTTTTCTTTCGATCTTCTTCTATTCGATGATTATCCGTCGACATTTCACGTTTTGATATTTCTCTCTTCTATATATTTCTTTTCTCCATTTTTTTCTATATTTTTCTTTTCTTTCTTTTTCCATCATACCCATACCCCACACTCTCAATCTTAAGATGGTAAATTAATCGATAAAAATCGTTGTATAGCATAGTAACTAATTTAAATCGAAAAAATGGAAGTCTCCATGAAAAAATCATAGAGCACATAGCCCGATTAAAATCGATTGTTTTTCGATTAAAAATCAATTAAAATGGCACGATTTTAAACTGATTAGAATCTGATTCACATATCAAAATCTGATTCTAATCGGATTAAAATCGTGTCATTCTAATTGATTTTTAATTGCAAAACAATCCATTTTAATCGGATTTTTCGCTTCATGATTTTTTCATGGGAGTTTTACTTGTGGAAATTCTTTTCCCGTTTATTATGCGGTAAGAAACCAATAGTCAACTCTTTAGTTTACTAGTCCGTTTTCAGCTCTACGACAGATAATGTTATTATTTGAGTTGACCTAATCTGCTCGTATCGCACGGGAGAGAGAGCAAGCCCTGACATGAAAAAACTGCTTTTTACTAATAAACGTCAATTTCTCTTTTACTTCCGATGTCAGAATCTTAGTTGATGCATTTAAAATAAGAAAAGACAGATCGAATTCGGAGATATTTATTTATTTATTTATTTTAAAAAGTCACGTGCAATATATAATACAATGTCTTTAGAAGAAAACTGATCAAAAAGATATATTTTTATGTTGTTTTTGTTACGTCTCATTATGTAATCGTCACTTGTTCTTTCCATAGTTATGGTGCACTCCTCCTTGCTGACCGGATTCTTTCTTGTTACCGTCTTTATCGGTTGAATGATAATGACCGCTCTTGTCGCTTGTAGGATGGTGGATAGGCTTTCCTTGTCCTTGGTGCTGAGCCGCCTCTTCTGCATCCTTTTTGCTGTTATGCTGGACGTTATGAATTTTTGCCTTGCCACTGGAACCTGCTCCTCATGTAGATTCCGACATCGTTTTTTGGTCTGTTTCTGTTCAATCACTGACCAAACAGCTAGTTATATTCGTGAGAAGAACTAAAAATAGAAAGAAAAATAGTTAAAATATCTTTGTAAGGTGTTCAGTGAGTGCTGTATGTTGCTCGTATGAATTAGTTATTCGTTTCTTATCTCCTGTCAGAATTTATTGGCTATTTTCCGAAAATATTCTCGCTGGAATTATCACATGAAACCATACCTACTCATTTTTGTTTTCACTTATATAGGAGCAACATTCACATGAGTTCAGAAAGTTGAATGATAACGTCAGAAACTTCCAACAAGTAAAAGTACATAAGAGATAAGTCCGAGCAGAAATAAAAGGAATGACGCTGTTTTGTTTCCTTTCGGTTATCTTTTTATGACGCATTTCTTACTCAGCGTAATAAAACAGTGATGTAAGGGTGAAGTGTGGATGTGGGTGTGATTGTGAGTGCGGATTGGTGTGCGGTGTGGATGTGGATGTGGATAAAGAGAACACCCAAACTCACACCTCACATTCACATCCTTGGCTAATCAATGCTGAGAGAAATTCTTTCGACTATTCTGTCGACTATACTTTGTCGTTTTATTTCTAGAAAAATTATCGCGGTCGGCTAATTCGTTTTTTCTCTTTTGTTTGAACATTAATATGCTATATATAAACATTCATCATACTTTCTTCTCGACAATAATCGACCGTTTATATTATCATTAGGACTAATTCAAAACATACATCGATTGGATATTTAGTAGCAATAGAAAGTGGGAAGTTCGAAGAAGCTATTGAAATATGTATATGTCGTAGGCCAATCTAAGTTTCGCCTAGTCCATACTAAGATTCACCTAGGTCAAACTAAGATAAAGTGATTAGTAACTCAAACAAGAACTGGCCCACATGCAGTCAATAGCATAACATAGTAGAAAGTAATATAAGTACCAATTAAATAAACAATAAATTTCTTTATTCCTCTATGTTTCTACAAAGAATGATGTTTTTCTGATACTTTATTGAGCAGAAAACTCGATTGTTTTCACAAGCATACCGGTTAGTATCTTCATTCTCCTTCGACTGAACAACAACGACCATTGATAGCGCATGTTTTTTCATTCATACCCATATGCACCCTATCGTTTGATTTTCTAGTAGATGCCTCCAACTGAGTCCAAAATTCAATAAAACAGCCATAATCCGGCTCGATAGATATATACGCGCAATGTCTGGTAGAAATTTTCTGGTCTTACTAGTATCTCCTTGTGGACTCAATATGATTTCTAATGAAAGGATATAATTGGGCTGGTTTCTTCGTAAGTGACAACTGAGAAAAAAGAGATCAGACAACTGGTTAAAGACCAAAATATGATGTCATTAAGAGCAAAAAATTGCGCTGTTGCTGTCTTTCATTCCAACACGTACTCGGAGAACAGCTAGATCAAGATAAGTTTCCATTTCATTAAGCACCTCAGCTAGTAGATTGAAATCTTCAGCCTGCATCGTACTTAGTGGTAGAATATTGACTCGAACATATGAATACAGAGAAGAAACAGTTCATTTGTTCATGTTGAAAAAATAATTTTAATGATATTATAGTTTAAGCTCTCACGTATCAAAATTACTAGAAAATGTGTTGTTTTTAGGTACCACTTCTTCATCCTTTCGTCTGATTTCAAGTACTATGCACGTACTTTTTGATTATATCTTGTAGAGCTTTCTTCACTCTATCGAATCCATAGAAAATCATTGTAGATCTGCATGTTTTTCAACATGTTTTCTCCTAAAAATGATAAAAAGTTTTCAAAATTAGTACATAGGTTTTTTGCGGTATACATAGATATTGACTCTCAAAAGTCATATTCAGCAAGCAATTGAAGAAAGTCCAAATATAGAGTTTTGTAAAGCAAAACTTGTTCTATCTCTAGAGATATTGTCTGATTCAATTCGCTTGATATATAGAGAACAAATTATATAATGAAGAAAACTACAAGAGGCAAAAAATGAAATAGAGCTTCACTGATCCACATCAAATATTTTCTTCATAATTATTGAAGAATCACTCAGAGAAGGCTAAAATTTTGGATTTATGGTTTTTTTAACATGCTCTTTCATTTTCAATAATAATAAAAAAATCTATATTACAATTTTTCGGGCGACAGTCTCTAGTAAAAATGTTCGATACAGCCACAGATTGTTTCTTACGATAGGAATAGCAACAAAAACTGAAACTTCTACAATAAACTATTCTTGTTGAGATCTGTCCCTACGCAAAATTTCAAGTCAAACTTCGAAAACCAGTTTTTTCTGATGTTTCTGAAGAAGACCACAGCATCCATTAAAAAAAATACCGTAAAAGTGTAGTATTTCCGTAGCAACAAGCTAAGGGCACCAATTCTTTTCAGGGTATTCATAGTTCACTTAGGTCTACATAATCCATATGGTCTCGACTCAAAAGTGATTGAACAGTTAGTGAATTTTCCTCGCTAAATGTGTGGCATTAATATGATACAATTCACTAAATAGGTTTCAACCAACTCTCATATATGGTACTGTCATGAACTTAAGAAATTAGAAATCCAAAAGAATGTTCGCAACTTCAGTTCATCTTTACAAAAAATGAAATCGTTTCTTAATTTCATTGACATGTAACACAGCTCTGCTAATAATTGCCATTCATAATATTCAATAATATTAGTACAATTTCCAAAAAAATCCGTTTTTTGTTTCGACTCAAAGAACAATTCAAAAAACAAGCTAGAATTTCGTTGAATATAAGAATTTATTGTAAAATTGTACACAAAAATAATTACAGTTTTGTTTTTCATACAACTACACAATCAAAGATTAACATAATTGTACATCAAATTATTTCACATCATTCGTCTTTAAAAATTCTGGATCATCAAATCATTTCTAATCGGATTGAATCCTACCATATTGATATGTTGATTGATTCTTATATAAAGCATCCATCCATTCTTTGACAATCACTGGTGAATCAATCATAGCATTAATTTCCTAATTATAACAAAAAAACAATAATTACTTTTAATTAAAAGAATTAAAACAATCGAAAATTGATTTACTTGTGAATGAAACCAAGATTGACTATCCATATTACCATTACCCATAATAGCAACTTGATCATCAATAGACATAAATTTAATATGACAATTTCGTCTTTTTTCAGAAAAATGAAGAGGACGTGTTTGATCTATTGTAATTTCATATAAAAATTATATTATATATGCTTTCTTTGTTTTTTTTTTAAACATACCTTTTCCAGTATACCAATATACTTGAAGATATTTTTCTGCACCATCATTTCCACGTTTTAATTTTTTATAAAGTTTTTTTACAACATGTTCATTGGTTCCACCCTGAAATGTTCCAAATCCTTCAACTGAATCGTTAAAACCTAAACCAAGCCATAATGTTACAATTATTCCACGTCTACATGCAGATATTATTCCATCAATAGCTGATGATGCATTTAATGTAGGTGTTTGAATAAATATCGATTTTTTTGCATAACGAAATGCTCCCATCCATGCAGCATCTTGTGGATTAGCTCTATCTATATGTATAGGTTTACCATATGGTGAACGATTGACTAAAGCTATTGGAAATGGTTTATGTTCTTGATGAAAAATAAATGGTGAAAAATCAAATGCTAATTTTTCTAATTGATTATCAGATAAATTTTTATCGGGTTGTGTTGAATTAGCAGATGTTGCTGATTTATTGAAATGATGTGTAAGTGGTACATCTGAACG